GTCATATGTTTCACAACATAAAAAAGATCAACGATCGATTTTGTCACATGTGATAAAACGAATGTCCACTATGCTCCAAAAATCTCAGTACAAATTCCCCCTTTTAAAGGAGAAGTGAAAGAAAATGTCGTAGCATGGTTATTACAAGCACAAAATGTTCTAAGAACTCAAGGAATCACTGATGAAGCCACCCAAGTTAATTATGCTACAACTGGATTCAAAGATGCAGCGCTACACTGGTATTTAAACAAAGTTGTAGGAAATAATAATACACCACCATACACTACTTGGACCGCTTTTGCCACTGCCCTGAGAACTGCTTTTCAGCCACCGAACTATCAACAATATCTCCAACAACAACTTAAAAGACTATGACAAACTAGCACTGTGCAAGAGTACACGTCTCAATTTCAGAATTTAATTGGACAGATTGAGGGCATGGGAGAATTGGACCAAGTAACTTATTATATAGATGGGTTAAAGCCATCCACAAGAATGGAAGTGGCCTACCAAGCTCCAGATACCTTGGAAAAAGCTACTGCATGTGCCATCCAATTCGATACCGCAATGTTTGGAAATGGAAGACCTTTTTCAAACAATAGTCAATCTACAAAAGCCTCCCCCTCAAAACATAACCAAAGAAACAATAATCATAGCAACTATAACAACAACAATAGTAATAATTATTATAATAGTAATAATGACAATAATGGATATGTTCCTATGGAACTAGACCAAGCAGAAACCCCCCGCCGAAATTTTTATAACAATAATAACAAGGGTATTGTCATAAATGTGGTATTACAGGACATTATGCTCGTGACTGCAGAAGAGGCAAGGCAAAAATTTCCAACATTGAAAACAATGAACAAAACGGTAATGGCAATAGCAATAATGTTGAATTTTCAAACATAGAAGAAAACAGAGAACAACTTATCCAACTCCAAGGAAAAATAAATGGATACCCTGCTCGAATTTTGATTGATAGTGGAGCATCACGAAATTTCTTGGATAAACAATTTGTTGAACAACAAGGCATTCAGACTCAGAATATTGATCATGTAACAGTAGAACTAGCAGACAGAAGGAAGATGGGAACTAACAAGATAGTCAATATTAAAAATTTAGAATTAGATGCATATCACACCACTGGAATTACTGCTCAAGTCATTGGGTTACAACGATACGACGCCATCTTGGGAAAACCATGGTTGTTTCATGCCAACCCCAACATCAATTGGAGAGAAAACACCATGACTTTCCAATATGGATCAAAAACTATTGTTGTAAAGGCCAATGCCAATAAAACAATAACTAACTCTAGTTGCAACTCTGTGTATATTTCTTGCCAACAATTAGCTAAGGTATCTAAGAATGCAGAACTGTTTGCCGTATACCTTGAAGAAATTATGCCAACAGCAACCAATGAAATTCAACCTGATGTTACCACTATATTACAAAAGTTTACCAATGTGTTTCCTGACTCATTACCTAATCAATTACCACCAAAGAGAACTATTGATCATGCCATTGAAGTAACACCAGGAGCAGAACCCCCTTCTCGCGCTATTTACCGAATGTCATACCAAGAGACTAACAAACTGAAGAAACAACTTGCCGACTTGCTAAAGAAAGGATATATTCGACCTAGTACATCACCATTTGGAGCACCCGTGTTATTTGTTCATAAGAAAGATGGTACATTAAGACTTTGTGTGGATTACCGGGCATTAAACAAGATAACCATCAAAAATAGATATCCACTGCCTCGCATTGAAGACTTGATGGATAGACTTGTTGGGGCAAAATATTTCACAAAAATTGATTTGTATTCTGGATATCATCAAATCCGTATTAAAGAAGAAGACATCCATAAAACTGCTTTTCGGACTAGATATGGCCATTATGAATTTCTTGTACTTCCTTTTGGCTTAACTAACACACCAGCAACATTCATGACTTTGATGAATGATATTTTTTGAGAATTCCTAGATCAATTTGTAATTGTGTATTTGGACAACATCTTAATTTATAGTAAAACAAGGAAGAGCATTTACAACACTTGCAACAAGTTTTACAAATCCTCAGAAAACATCATTTGTATGCCAAGCTTAGTAAATGCGAAATCCTGAAACAAAAAGTTGAATACTTAGGACACTACATTTCATCCGAAGGAATATCAGTTGACTCAAAAAAGATTTCAGCTGTCAAAGAATGGCCTGAACCCACTAATGTTTCTGAACTAAGATCTTTCCTAGGACTTGCTAGTTATTATCAAAAATTTGTCAAGGGGTTTTCTACCATCTCTGCACCATTGACCTTGTTGTTACATAAGGATCAACCATATAAGTGGGACAATCTGCAACAAGCAGCTTTTAATGAACTTAAAAGATTGTTAACATCTGCACCTGTATTAGCACTTCCAGATCCAACTAAACCTTTTATTGTAACCACAGATGCATCGGATATTGCAATCGGAGCAGTACTAAGCCAAGATCAAGGAAAAGGAGAACAACCAGTAGCAAATTATCCAGTACACGAAAAGGAGTTATTGGCAATTATACATGCCATTAAATTATGACGAATGTATCTAGAGGGACAAAAATTCACTGTAGTAACTGACCATGCATCATTAGAATTTATTAAGACACAATCCAATTTATCAAGGAGACAAGCTCAGTGGTTAGAAGTATTACAATCAAATACTTTTGATGTAAAATACCAACCAGGAAAAACAAACATAGTAGCCGATGCACTTTCTCGTCCACCCCACCTTGCTAACATCACCACCATATCAACTTATTTGACAAAAAAAACTCTGGAAAAAGGATATCAGCAGGATAAGTATTTTGCACCAATCTTTGAAACATTGAAAAATTCAGAAGGAAGTGATGAAAAACAAAAAGTACGAGCAGTACATTATGAATTGAGGGACAATAAATTATATTTAAAACAGGGTCAACAACTTGCAATCCCTAAAAATAAAGAATTGCGAACCTGACTGTTACAAGAATATCATGATATTCCTACTGCGGGACATTTAGGAATTGACAAAACATACAAAGCCATTAGAAGAGATTACTTTGGCCAAAAATGGGAAAAGATGTTCAAAAATATGTCACCAGTTGTGACTCGTGTCAAAGGAACAAAAGTAGTAATCAACAACCAACAGGACTTTTACAACCACTCCCAACACCAACAAAACACTGGGAACAAGTCACAATGGATTTTATAGTACAATTACCAACAACACATAGAGGATATGACGCAATCATAGTAATTGTAGACCGATTGTCCAAACGTGCACATTTTTGTCCAACACACACATCAGTAACTGCACCAGAAGTTGCGAAAATTTTCTTCTCTATCATTTTTAAGAATCATGGCTTGCCTCAAACTATTATTTTGGACAGAGATGTGAAGTTTACTAGTTGTTTCTGGAAAATGCTATTTGAACAAGTAGGGACTAAATTGGCATTATCAACTGCATTCCACCCACAGACAGACAGACAAACTGAAAGAATGAATAGAACGTTGGAAGAAATGTTATGAGCATACACTTCATACAAACAAGACAATTGGGACAAATATTTACCTGCTGCTGAATTTGCCTACAACAATTCCAAACAACCTTCAACAGGTTACACACCATTTGAGTTAGATTGCGGACAACATCCAAGCACCCCTAGTTCATTGGCAGCAAAGAAAAACACTCCAGTACCGGCAGCAGATGACTTCTTGAATCATTGGAATACCATGATTCAAATTGCAAAAGATACTTTGATGATTGCTCAAGAAAGACAAACAAAGTACTCTAATCAAAAGCGATGCCATGAGGAATTCAAAACAGGGGATAAAGTTTTGTTGTCTACACGGCACATAATTACACCAATTGATAGAAACTGGCCAACCAAGAAACTTACACCAAGATATATGGGACCATATACAGTCATTGCAGCAATCTCTACAACTGCATATAAACTGGACTTACCAGAAAATTTGAAAATTCACCCTGTTTTTCATGTGTCTTTATTAAAACGATATCAAGAAACATCTGATAACTTTAATCGACATACACCACCACCAGCAATTAGTATTCCTGGAACAGAAGAGGAAGAATATGAAGTAGAAAATATCCTTGATAAAAAGCTGGTACGAACAAAACCACATTATTTAGTTAAATGGAAAGGTTATCCATTACATGATGCGACCTGGGAACCTGCTGAACATCTAAAGAATGCAGAAAAGAAAGTTAAAGAATTTGAATTGACAAGGACGTCAAAACTTAAGGAGGGGAGAATGTAACAATTTAATGTGATATAATTACTTTATAGAAGGTGTAACATCTAATTAAATAGTATAACACATGATTAATTCTATTTGTAACATTCACATTTCGCGTAGTATTATTTATATTATTATTTATATTTAATTTATATTATTATTATCATATCTATGTCCTATAATCTTCCGGATAGATTGATAAGTTTTATTAAGTTATATTATTATTTATATTATATTT